ATGCTGATATTTAACTGTATGATTTTAAATTATAATTAAAAATTGTAAAAATTGTGCATAGAATCATGTCTGATGAAGTTGTCAACTACAACAAAACGGCACATTAAATTGAATAAATAAAGATTAATAAAGTAGGAAGAGAATATAAAAATGAATACAAGGTTGATCAATGTTGTTTAGAAATTGACATAGTTTTTGATGACATTTCATCCTAATCCCCTGATGGCTCGATGCGATGATAGTTTCTGAACAGTATACCTACGATACCATTGATCCATATGTGAGCGTCTACCCGTGTAGCCGACAATGGATAAATAATTGGAAAATGACTCATTATTTTCTATTATTTCAAAAGCAATTGAATTAATGCATTATAATTAATTATTTTTTGACTTTTCAATGCATTTTAATGCATTATTTAGAATCATGTAGAAATTCTCAATAATGCATTATTATCCAATGCATTTCAATGCAATATTTCTAATAATGCGAAAATGGTTTGAAAATGCAGTAAAATTTCAATGCATTTCAAAGTATTATTTAGAGTAATGTTTTTACATTAGAAAATTCCCTATTTTCGTACAAGATATATTGAAAAAATGATTTAGCAGGCAGATGCTTGAATTGACACAGCTTTCTGGGTATCAAGCGCTCTTCAATAAGAGTCGCGCAAGTTAAAGATTTAATAAAAAATGTAACCTGAGCTACAGCGCTAAGAGTATTTTTCGAATCCCTTTCCCCCGATAATTAGATCACGAATAATTTTGTTCCCCAAATATGAAACCATTTTAATACTCTTGAAATAGCCTCATGTCATATATACGTTTTTCGAGTGATATCGTTTTCAACTACAATTCGACATGGTCGAAGTGATAAGTTTGAATTCAATAACAATAAAATTATTTATTCATTGCCTTTTGTTTTAGATTCTTATCTTAGAGAGATAGATTAAGGTTAAGGGGATAGATGCGCAGAACCACAGAGATACAATTATGGTAATTAGGATATCGATTTAATAGGATCTAATAGATCTTATGTAGCAAGTGTCTAATAAGAGTTTTTCAATGTATTATTTTACAATAGAAATGCATTGCAATGTCTATTCTTCTACAAAATCGGCTACATGGGTAGTATCGTTAAATTTGAATGCAAGGATAAATGGCATACCTCAAGTAGAAAAGTATACTGAAAGTACTTGGAATTAGCCTAATATTACTTGAAGTAGTTCAAAATGGCCGTTATCTCAAATTATCTAAAAAAGAGATAGTATATTCAACGGAGTCTGACAATCAGGTACGTTGATCTGATAAGAACGATTTTTTACTGGATTTCTGAAGTAAGTGCAATTAGATATTTTGGTCGAATTGATTCTGCTACGTAGATATTTGCGGCAATTGATAGAATCAAGTTAGGTATATCAAAATATCTTGTGATCTCTTTTATATACGATCTCAACTATAATTATTTCGGAAATCATTGGATCAGAAAACATAGTTACGAAAATAATCAAATGACATATAAATCAATCGTAGACTACATTTTGATCATTTTTGTTGGCATATCTTGAAAAAAACGCGCTACTGAGTCGACGAGAGAAACAATGTAAAGTAATAATAGCCTAGCAACTGAGTCTCTATCAATTAACAATGCTTCTCATTTGAAACAGTATTTTTTCGTAGTAGTTTGTTTCGTTCTGCTTACACAACACAATGAAAGTGTGCGATATCTCTGCAAGAGAAAGAGAGTCGCGTGTTGTCTCTACGTATAAAAGAAATAATAGAATAATAACAGTGTAAGATAAAGAATAGCCAGTATTTGTTTATTGACACGACGTGCACATACATTGTATCAAGTTTCATCGAAAAAACTTTTACAACAATCAGTCGCAGCATGAATTTACCAGAAAAAATTCAGGCATCAGGAGATCCCATTAATCAATACATTATGGAACATTCACTATGTTTCACAACTGAACAGCTAGAACTAATTGAATACACCAGAACTCTCCCCGGTAGTCAAGAACCATTTAATTTAATTTCTCCTCACGATAATAGTCATACTCATTTTTTTCATAGCACATCTTTCACGAATGCTCGGTTCACTCGATGAAGCGCAATTCTTCCAGATTCTCATTCGATTAATGAATTTCAAAAGATGCAGTAATTCTTTTCTTTCATAGGCTATGCTAAGATAAAAATACGAAAATCGTGAAAAAAATTCGTTTCATCTAATTTAGTCGAAATTGGTACATTCACCGGTTATACATCCTTGACGATTGCTCTCGCTCTACCTTCTGATGGACAAGTGATCACGTGTGATATTGATGGTCAATATATTCGTCAAGATCTATGGAGAAAGGCAGGTGTTGACGAAAAAATTACTTTGCGACTTGAACCAGCTATTCAGATACTAGAGAAATTGATAGAAGAACACGGTGATGGATCATTTGATTTCATTTTTATTGATGCTGACAAAGTTAACTATTTGCGATGCTACGAGTTATCCATTCGACTAGTTCGCTCCAATGGACTAATCGTGATAGACAACACATTATAGCATGGACTCGTTTTGAATCAAACTGATAAAAGTGCGGTTACGATGGCCATTAGGCAGTTGAACGACTTGATTAGGAATGATCAACGTGTTGATATCAGTTTTTTACGCCTTGGTGACGGCACAACACTTTGTAGGAAAAAATAGGTATTGTGCTATGATTGAAAAATATTTCGATTTAAGAACTATATGAGTAAAATAACTTCATTTGAGAAGATCAAAACAAAATTTGAATAAATTTGATACACATCGAATTCTTGTTTATTTGGAAGTTGAGTTTGATTTTTGATGATGTAGCAGCCTTTGACATTTTTTAACGTCATATTAAATGTACCGGTATTAGAGTTAGATCATCTGAATCAAGTTCATCTCTATGTTACTCTAATAAAACTTACCAAAGCAAAAGTTTAAATATCTACTAAAATCAATGATAATTGCTGCAAAATCAAACATCCAGTGGCAAGAAAAGGAACAATAAGAAATAATTTTTGTTTCTTAATTAATAACAAAATTATTCTAGAAACTCAGATTAAGCTAACGTATATAATACTTTTCGTTGGGATAGTTTATGTAAACTGTAAGTAAAACAAATGCTATTATACTTCAAGAGACCAGCTAGCTTTCGTGAGAAATCATTTGCACACGAATGCGATAGGAAATCGCTGATTATTATCTGACCCGCTTATGTTCACCGGATCTGACTGATTACATTTAGCATTTATTGAAGATTCTCTTTTGCAACCGATCATGATCGACTTGGGTTAGCAGAGAAGAGCATTTTATCAAGGAAAATTAACTAAAATGTTCAGTATGTGATTGCGATCGTAAATGCACACTGACTGTTCATGTATAATGTTTTACCTTCTCTTGCTAACTTTTCTTATTAAATATTGCATTATTCTATCCGTTGTGACTGCATATTTCAAACAAGCTTGCCATTCTTCATTGTTATCTCGTTCATTCTTGCATTCAGTTTTTCTGATGACCTCTGGTTGCTTACGTACAAGTGTGCTTTTTATGTAAACAATACAAGAGTATGATATGAAGAATCGAAAAAAATGATAATACCATCGCACAGAGAATTTTTCTATCAGAAATCGTCACAGTCGTCAAATAAAAATATGCAAAAGTAGAATTGATATTTGTTCAGTAAGAGGATGCTGAGGAAGATAGTAGAGCACGTGAATCATGGAAACAACGGTATCTGGAAAGAGTAGAATCTGGTTGATTGATTTCAGCATGTTACCAGTGCCTAATTTAGTCAAGGTCTGTGATTGTAATGAGATTTAGATCTTATCATCATTGATAAATTCGGTTTTTAGAGAAAATGGTACTTAGAAATGATGCTTGTACCATTTTAAGGTTCTGTATTTTATGTGAATCTAGCATATCTCCAGTATTGTTTGCTAAGGATTAATGGCTTGAATGCGCTCTAAAACATCTTATTCTCGTATACAAAACCATTTATAGGAAGCTCCGAACTCGATTGAAAGACATAAAATTGAAAAATTTTGCAGAAACTTTCATTTTTTTTACAGCACTATCAAGAAAATGTATCCATAACTTTCCAGCAACTATATGACAATGCTATCTTGAACTCGTTAGCAGCTACCTACGCATCATATCTATGGTGCTTGTGCGACACATTTATTTTTCGAAAAAAACAATAAGTCAAAGTTCAAATTAGGCCTTCTGCAGTTTTATCTTACAGGTACGAGCAAGCGATTTATCAGGATCAAGACCAGGGTCATTGAATAAGTTTTTATATCAATTGTGAGAAGCAGTAAAATCTCCTGGTTCTTATGTGAAATTCTTCTATTATTAAGATTCAGTTTACAAGAGTTAACCATTCGACAGACGCACTGATCGGTAAATTCTCCTGGGTTCCATTTTGATGGAAAACACGAAAGCTAAAGAAAGGAAGTGTCACATTCAAACCGACATCCATCCCTTGGGAGTAGATCTACAGTGATTATTGTAGATTTGCCCTTGTATATATAAGAACGAAGTTTTATATATGTTTTTATTTCACGTTTTGAAATAACAAGAAGAACAAATTACTAAAACAATTCCTAACGATAGAATTGTATACAATCACGGATAACAACTTATCTGACCGTATTTTATATATCTTTGATATATATAAAGCGCAAGGAAAATAATATTGCGTAATTTTCTATTACGGAATAAAAATAGTCAGGTCATTGTTCGTCTTGTGATTGACCTTGACAGAACACACAACAAAAAGAATAAGGACAAAACAATGTCCAATCATATAAAGAACGAATATAGTAAGAAAGAAGAAACGAAGGAAGAATGTAGCGAGAAAGAAGCAAGAGAGAAAGAAAGAAAGAACAAGAAGAAAATAACATGCTACAAGAAAGGAAACATCACCAACAATTATTTATGGATTACTAGAAAAATTTCGGCTAACGAATGTTAAGAATACCGGAGCATGCTTTTGTAGCAACGGGGAAAAGTATATTGGGGATAGTGGTGCACAGATCATTCTTGAAGTTTTTAGTAAATTTGAAACGTTAGTAGTGGCATGCCTCATATTTTTCCAAAGATTATATGGAATAGATGTATTACAAGTAAGGTGCGGGTAATGTAAAATTAGAGCACCTCTTGTTTTTTGCTTAAAAATGCTTCGTTAGGTTCTCTTTTTCATGCTGATCAGGAATATCTACTTGGTTTTTCGATTTGACAAAACCTTTAGGGAGAAAAATGTAAAATACTAAGAGGGTCTAAAAATCAGCAAAACAACGCTTATTTCTATAATGTTACACTTTTCGCACTCGTCAATAAGATTTTCGAATTCCTCATAGAAAATTGAGTATAGGAACGTTATACGTATAACGTTCCTATACTCAATTTTCTATGAGGAATTCGAAAATCTTATTGACGAGTGCGAAAAGTGTAACATTATAGAAATAAGCGTTGTTTTGCTGATTTTTAGACCCTCTTAGTATTTTACATTTTTCTCCCTAAAGGTTTTGTCAAATCGAAAAACCAAGTAGATATTCCTGATCAGCATGAAAAAGAGAACCTAACGAAGCATTTTTAAGCAAAAAACAAGAGGTGCTCTAATTTTACATTACCCGCACCTTACTTGTAATACATCTATTCCATATAATCTTTGGAAAAATATGAGGCATGCCACTACTAACGTTTCAAATTTACTAAAAACTTCAAGAATGATCTGTGCACCACTATCCCCAATATACTTTTCCCCGTTGCTACAAAAGCATGCTCCGGTATTCTTAACATTCGTTAGCCGAAATTTTTCTAGTAATCCATAAATAATTGTTGGTGATGTTTCCTTTCTTGTAGCATGTTATTTTCTTCTTGTTCTTTCTTTCTTTCTCTCTTGCTTCTTTCTCGCTACATTCTTCCTTCGTTTCTTCTTTCTTACTATATTCGTTCTTTATATGATTGGACATTGTTTTGTCCTTATTCTTTTTGTTGTGTGTTCTGTCAAGGTCAATCACAAGACGAACAATGACCTGACTATTTTTATTCCGTAATAGAAAATTACGCAATATTATTTTCCTTGCGCTTTATATATATCAAAGATATATAAAATACGGTCAGATAAGTTGTTATCCGTGATTGTATACAATTCTATCGTTAGGAATTGTTTTAGTAATTTGTTCTTCTTGTTATTTCAAAACGTGAAATAAAAACATATATAAAACTTCGTTCTTATATATACAAGGGCAAATCTACAATAATCACTGTAGATCTACTCCCAAGGGATGGATGTCGGTTTGAATGTGACACTTCCTTTCTTTAGCTTTCGTGTTTTCCATCAAAATGGAACCCAGGAGAATTTACCGATCAGTGCGTCTGTCGAATGGTTAACTCTTGTAAACTGAATCTTAATAATAGAAGAATTTCACATAAGAACCAGGAGATTTTACTGCTTCTCACAATTGATATAAAAACTTATTCAATGACCCTGGTCTTGATCCTGATAAATCGCTTGCTCGTACCTGTAAGATAAAACTGCAGAAGGCCTAATTTGAACTTTGACTTATTGTTTTTTTCGAAAAATAAATGTGTCGCACAAGCACCATAGATATGATGCGTAGGTAGCTGCTAACGAGTTCAAGATAGCATTGTCATATAGTTGCTGGAAAGTTATGGATACATTTTCTTGATAGTGCTGTAAAAAAAATGAAAGTTTCTGCAAAATTTTTCAATTTTATGTCTTTCAATCGAGTTCGGAGCTTCCTATAAATGGTTTTGTATACGAGAATAAGATGTTTTAGAGCGCATTCAAGCCATTAATCCTTAGCAAACAATACTGGAGATATGCTAGATTCACATAAAATACAGAACCTTAAAATGGTACAAGCATCATTTCTAAGTACCATTTTCTCTAAAAACCGAATTTATCAATGATGATAAGATCTAAATCTCATTACAATCACAGACCTTGACTAAATTAGGCACTGGTAACATGCTGAAATCAATCAACCAGATTCTACTCTTTCCAGATACCGTTGTTTCCATGATTCACGTGCTCTACTATCTTCCTCAGCATCCTCTTACTGAACAAATATCAATTCTACTTTTGCATATTTTTATTTGACGACTGTGACGATTTCTGATAGAAAAATTCTCTGTGCGATGGTATTATCATTTTTTTCGATTCTTCATATCATACTCTTGTATTGTTTACATAAAAAGCACACTTGTACGTAAGCAACCAGAGGTCATCAGAAAAACTGAATGCAAGAATGAACGAGATAACAATGAAGAATGGCAAGCTTGTTTGAAATATGCAGTCACAACGGATAGAATAATGCAATATTTAATAAGAAAAGTTAGCAAGAGAAGGTAAAACATTATACATGAACAGTCAGTGTGCATTTACGATCGCAATCACATACTGAACATTTTAGTTAATTTTCCTTGATAAAATGCTCTTCTCTGCTAACCCAAGTCGATCATGATCGGTTGCAAAAGAGAATCTTCAATAAATGCTAAATGTAATCAGTCAGATCCGGTGAACATAAGCGGGTCAGATAATAATCAGCGATTTCCTATCGCATTCGTGTGCAAATGATTTCTCACGAAAGCTAGCTGGTCTCTTGAAGTATAATAGCATTTGTTTTACTTACAGTTTACATAAACTATCCCAACGAAAAGTATTATATACGTTAGCTTAATCTGAGTTTCTAGAATAATTTTGTTATTAATTAAGAAACAAAAATTATTTCTTATTGTTCCTTTTCTTGCCACTGGATGTTTGATTTTGCAGCAATTATCATTGATTTTAGTAGATATTTAAACTTTTGCTTTGGTAAGTTTTATTAGAGTAACATAGAGATGAACTTGATTCAGATGATCTAACTCTAATACCGGTACATTTAATATGACGTTAAAAAATGTCAAAGGCTGCTACATCATCAAAAATCAAACTCAACTTCCAAATAAACAAGAATTCGATGTGTATCAAATTTATTCAAATTTTGTTTTGATCTTCTCAAATGAAGTTATTTTACTCATATAGTTCTTAAATCGAAATATTTTTCAATCATAGCACAATACCTATTTTTTCCTACAAAGTGTTGTGCCGTCACCAAGGCGTAAAAAACTGATATCAACACGTTGATCATTCCTAATCAAGTCGTTCAACTGCCTAATGGCCATCGTAACCGCACTTTTATCAGTTTGATTCAAAACGAGTCCATGCTATAATGTGTTGTCTATCACGATTAGTCCATTGGAGCGAACTAGTCGAATGGATAACTCGTAGCATCGCAAATAGTTAACTTTGTCAGCATCAATAAAAATGAAATCAAATGATCCATCACCGTGTTCTTCTATCAATTTCTCTAGTATCTGAATAGCTGGTTCAAGTCGCAAAGTAATTTTTTCGTCAACACCTGCCTTTCTCCATAGATCTTGACGAATATATTGACCATCAATATCACACGTGATCACTTGTCCATCAGAAGGTAGAGCGAGAGCAATCGTCAAGGATGTATAACCGGTGAATGTACCAATTTCGACTAAATTAGATGAAACGAATTTTTTTCACGATTTTCGTATTTTTATCTTAGCATAGCCTATGAAAGAAAAGAATTACTGCATCTTTTGAAATTCATTAATCGAATGAGAATCTGGAAGAATTGCGCTTCATCGAGTGAACCGAGCATTCGTGAAAGATGTGCTATGAAAAAAATGAGTATGACTATTATCGTGAGGAGAAATTAAATTAAATGGTTCTTGACTACCGGGGAGAGTTCTGGTGTATTCAATTAGTTCTAGCTGTTCAGTTGTGAAACATAGTGAATGTTCCATAATGTATTGATTAATGGGATCTCCTGATGCCTGAATTTTTTCTGGTAAATTCATGCTGCGACTGATTGTTGTAAAAGTTTTTTCGATGAAACTTGATACAATGTATGTGCACGTCGTGTCAATAAACAAATACTGGCTATTCTTTATCTTACACTGTTATTATTCTATTATTTCTTTTATACGTAGAGACAACACGCGACTCTCTTTCTCTTGCAGAGATATCGCACACTTTCATTGTGTTGTGTAAGCAGAACGAAACAAACTACTACGAAAAAATACTGTTTCAAATGAGAAGCATTGTTAATTGATAGAGACTCAGTTGCTAGGCTATTATTACTTTACATTGTTTCTCTCGTCGACTCAGTAGCGCGTTTTTTTCAAGATATGCCAACAAAAATGATCAAAATGTAGTCTACGATTGATTTATATGTCATTTGATTATTTTCGTAACTATGTTTTCTGATCCAATGATTTCCGAAATAATTATAGTTGAGATCGTATATAAAAGAGATCACAAGATATTTTGATATACCTAACTTGATTCTATCAATTGCCGCAAATATCTACGTAGCAGAATCAATTCGACCAAAATATCTAATTGCACTTACTTCAGAAATCCAGTAAAAAATCGTTCTTATCAGATCAACGTACCTGATTGTCAGACTCCGTTGAATATACTATCTCTTTTTTAGATAATTTGAGATAACGGCCATTTTGAACTACTTCAAGTAATATTAGGCTAATTCCAAGTACTTTCAGTATACTTTTCTACTTGAGGTATGCCATTTATCCTTGCATTCAAATTTAACGATACTACCCATGTAGCCGATTTTGTAGAAGAATAGACATTGCAATGCATTTCTATTGTAAAATAATACATTGAAAAACTCTTATTAGACACTTGCTACATAAGATCTATTAGATCCTATTAAATCGATATCCTAATTACCATAATTGTATCTCTGTGGTTCTGCGCATCTATCCCCTTAACCTTAATCTATCTCTCTAAGATAAGAATCTAAAACAAAAGGCAATGAATAAATAATTTTATTGTTATTGAATTCAAACTTATCACTTCGACCATGTCGAATTGTAGTTGAAAACGATATCACTCGAAAAACGTATATATGACATGAGGCTATTTCAAGAGTATTAAAATGGTTTCATATTTGGGGAACAAAATTATTCGTGATCTAATTATCGGGGGAAAGGGATTCGAAAAATACTCTTAGCGCTGTAGCTCAGGTTACATTTTTTATTAAATCTTTAACTTGCGCGACTCTTATTGAAGAGCGCTTGATACCCAGAAAGCTGTGTCAATTCAAGCATCTGCCTGCTAAATCATTTTTTCAATATATCTTGTACGAAAATAGGGAATTTTCTAATGTAAAAACATTACTCTAAATAATACTTTGAAATGCATTGAAATTTTACTGCATTTTCAAACCATTTTCGCATTATTAGAAATATTGCATTGAAATGCATTGGATAATAATGCATTATTGAGAATTTCTACATGATTCTAAATAATGCATTAAAATGCATTGAAAAGTCAAAAAATAATTAATTATAATGCATTAATTCAATTGCTTTTGAAATAATAGAAAATAATGAGTCATTTTCCAATTATTTATCCATTGTCGGCTACACGGGTAGACGCTCACATATGGATCAATGGTATCGTAGGTATACTGTTCAGAAACTATCATCGCATCGAGCCATCAGGGGATTAGGATGAAATGTCATCAAAAACTATGTCAATTTCTAAACAACATTGATCAACCTTGTATTCATTTTTATATTCTCTTCCTACTTTATTAATCTTTATTTATTCAATTTAATGTGCCGTTTTGTTGTAGTTGACAACTTCATCAGACATGATTCTATGCACAATTTTTACAATTTTTAATTATAATTTAAAATCATACAGTTAAATATCAGCAT